GTGGTTTTGTGAGAGCCAAGGGCTGTAGCTGTTGCCTTCACTTGGGAGAAATGTGAGAAACACTCAACTTGTTTGTGGTACTGTGGAGCTGGGAATCAGCATCCTCCAGCCAAGGAGCCTGGGCTGCTGCTGGGAGGGATCAGGGTCTGCTTCTGCAGCCGTGGGCATGGGAAGTGTGATGGAGGGAGATCACGGGCTCTCCGAAGAGCCATGGAGCCACCAGATAACTGTGGGGAGCTGCAGGGGAGGAGCTGCCAGTGCTGCTGTGGTTTAGCCTTCCTCTAAAGCCATGGCCACCTTTTACTCATCAAAATGAGCCAAAGCTCTGACCATTCTGACCTGGGAGAAGCTCGAGGGCTTCCAATTCAGCCTGCTGGCATCGATGTTGATGCCCCTCCTTGAAGAGGGGCTGGGAGCAGTGGGGAGCAGGTGCAGGGCAAGGGCCCAGGGACCCAGTGCATTCCCTGGTGCCTCTCCCTGGGAGGATTGTTTGCTGTGCCGTGCGTGCCACGGCCAAGCCAGGATCACTGTGTCCTTTGGTGCCGGGGACAGTCTCTGCTTGTCCTGTGTTTCCCTTGAGAAGAGCTCCCTCCACCCTTGGAGACGGACCCTGGGGGAGGGAGAAGATGCAGGAGGCCAGAACACAGTCCCATTGTGTGCCCGTGGTTTGGTGCCGGCAGCATCCTGGCCCGAAGTGGCAACGGGGAAACCTCCCTGATGCCTTTTCACAGGGCAGCATAAGGCCAGTGGGGTGCAAGAGTGGGGGGACCCCCCCTTGCAGAGCCCGTGGGAGCCTCAAGAGGTGGGAACTTTTTCCCCTCTACTGGGGACTGGGGTGGGCATAAAATTACCCATTGCCCTGATGTGTGTGGGATCACAGAGCACTGTCCCAGCACTGGGGGCTGATGCCGAGCAGAGGCTTTGCGGGCCCAAGAGCTGCTGGAGCCCGGTGCAGAGCTGTATTTTTCCCTGAATTCCCAACGCTGTGGCCTGCGGATAAAGGGATGTTTGTTAGCCGGGCACGCTGTGTTTTGCAGAGCAGAACAATAAAGAGAAAGACACTCACAATGGGAAATTGTGCTTCCTCCTCCCTGTGCGTTCCTCGGGGAGGTGTTGGAGGGGAAAAAAACCGAGAAGAAAGCGGGAAGAGACGGTGACAGGGCAGGGAGTGCGGGCACAGCCGGCACCATGGGAGCAGGCAGCAAAGGCCCACGGGGCCACGGGGCTGCCGGGACACTGCCCGTCCCAGGGCGGTGACAGGGCAGGGGCTGGCTGGGAGCACCCACTCGCCACCTCCCACATCCCCGTGTCCCTGTGCCACCTCTTCTGTGCAGGTTCGACCTCCCCAGAGCCCTCGGCCCCTCCATGGGCTGTATATGACGGAGACGGGACGCAGCAGGAGCTGGGGCAGCACATGGGCTGGGGGCCTTGGATGGGAACAGTGGCTCCCCAAAGGACACACCTGGGGACGGTAAGAGATGGGTCAGGGGGTGCCGGGAAGGAGGGTTGGCACAGTCTGGGGGCTCGATGTCCCCTTTGCACAGTAAAAGTCAGTGAGCCCACCACGGAGCAGGGCCACCTCCTCTGGTCCCCACGGAAGGGGGGATGTTCCACTGCCTGTCCCTGACCCCTGCCCTCCCCCCAGGCACCGTCCTGCCCCCAGCTCTAAGGATGCACAGGCTGCTCCTGCTTGGCTGCTTCTGGCTCCTGACAGCACCCACAGTGTCCAGCATCTTCCAGAGGCCAACTGGGAGCCCAGGTAGGGAGTGGGGCCTGGGAGGAGGATGGGAGAACCCATTTAGGGAGCAGGACCTGAGGGGAAGACGGGGCACTGCTGTTTGGGGTTAGTGCTGGAGGGCAGAGATGATGCTGGGGGTGTCCAGCTGGGGCAGGGGCTGAGCTGTGCTTCCAGAGGATGCAGGAGAGGGGAAGAGGAGCCAGGAGAGAAACCACCAAATGCTTCTGAGGGTTGAGGGGCGCTCAGGGAGGTGTTGTGGGGGTGTTGGGGCCTCAGCAATGCTCCGTGGTGACCCTGTGCTGAGGCTGCCTGGGGGTGCCACAGCCCCCCCGCGCCTGCAGTACCTGTTGGAGCCCCTGCACTCCACGGTGCACACCCAGCGTGGGGCCACGGCCACCCTGCCCTGCGTCCTGCGCGCCCTGCCCCAAAACTACCGCGTCAAGTGGAGCAAGGTGGAGCCAGCCAACTACCGGGAGAGCATCATCATCATCACCAACGGGCTGTACCACAAGAACTACGGGCCGCTGAGCCCGCGGGTGCGCCTGCGGCACAGCCACCGCTACGACGCCTCGCTCACCATCACCGACGTGGCTCTGGAGGACGAGGGGCGCTACCGCTGCCAGCTGGTCAACGGGCTGGACGATGAGAGCGTCTCGCTCACGCTGCACCTCGAAGGTGAGCCTGGGCTCCCCCACCCTGGGGAATGCAGCAGGAGACAGACCCAGTCCAACCAGGGACTCTGGGCTGGACTGGAGGTCTGGTGGGTTCAATCCCTGTATGGGCTGTTCACTTAAGAGTTGGACTTGATGATCCTTGTGGGTCCCTTCCAACTCAGAATGTTCTGTAACTCCTGTCTGCTGTAACTCCTGTCTGTGGCTGGCTGCCTCCAGCCCTTGTTGCACTTATCTTCATCACTGAATCGCTGGGGATATTAAGTCAAAGCCTCCTCAGGGAGAGCATCTCCCTCACCCTGTCCCTGCCCCTCCAGGCGTCGTCTTCCCTTACCAACCCAGCAATGGGCGCTACAAATTCAACTACCACGAAGCCAAGCGAGCCTGCGAGCAGCAGGACTCCCGCCTCGCCACCTACCAGCAGCTGTACAAAGGTGAAGCACTCAAAAACAGACCCTTCTTCAGCCCAAAAATACACCTGGCTGGGCATGGGGAGGAGGAAAGTGCTGGTGCTGAGCTGCCTCTTGCCCCACAGCCTGGACAGAGGGTCTGGACTGGTGCAATGCTGGCTGGATCCTCGATGGGACCGTCCACTACCCCATCATCAACTCGCGGGAGCCTTGCGGTGGCCGCCTCCTCCTGCCTGGTGTCCGGACCTACGGGGCCAAGGACAAGCAGAAGGACCGATTTGACGCTTTCTGCTTTACCTCTGCTCTTCAAGGTAGTGCTGGGGTCCCCTGTCCCTCCCACAGAGTCCTGATGCCCCCCAAAACTCGTGCCAGGTCCGGGGGATTTTCCCAGGGCATCGTGGCAGCTGCTCCCCTGCAGTGTCCCCATCCATCCGTCCATCCCCAAGGCCAGGTCTACTTCATCCGGGGCCACCTGAACTTCAAGGAGGCCGGGCAGGCGTGTCGCAACCACGGGGCTGCCATCGCCAAGGTGGGGCAGCTCTACTCGGCCTGGAAGTTCTCCCAGCTGGATCGCTGCGACGGGGGGTGGCTGGCGGATTCGGCAGGTGCGCTACCCCCATCACCACAACCCCCGGGAGCGCTGCGGGGGGGCTGCCGACCCCGGCGTCCGCAGCTTCGGCTTCCCCAGCAAGGAGATGAGGACCTACGGCACCTACTGCTTCGTGGGGAAGTAGGAGGAGAGGTGGGCTGAGCAGAGGGGGTGGTGGCGGGACACCAGCCCTCGTCACCCGGGCAGAGAGTGTGAGGTGGGGTATGAGGGGATGGTCTCCCAGAGATTTTGGGTGGTTCATGCATCATCTGGTGAAGAAATAGAGCTGGATTTCGGTGCTCAGTGCATGCTCTCGTGGAGCTGCTCCCCACGCCCCAGCCTGCTGCAGGACTTGTGGGCTGTTCAAGGCTTGCTGGAGAAGCCAGACCCGTTGCTGGGCCAGGAAGGGGGTCTAATCCAGCCCCTTCAGCAGGCAGCACAGACTCCCCATTCCCCAGCTCCCATGAATCCTTCACCCCATCCTCACTCCCTGCAGCCATGAGGACTCTCTCTGGTGTGAGCACAGAGGACTTGGGCTGGGCATTAACGAGCGTGACTAATGGCGTGTCGCCTTCTCAATTAATAAAGCAATGGCAAAGCTGCACAGCAAAGCCACACTCCTGCCTGGCTCCTTCCCCTGGGACCATCTGGGCCTCTCCACAAGGGGAATTTGACAGGGACTTTCCATCTCTGATGCCCTGTCCAGGCGTTATCTGTGTTCCAGGCTCTGGGGGTTTCCGGGTGTTGCTGTTTGATACAGCCCAGGAGAACTATAAAAAGCTGTGGAACTGGCACAGTGCAGGGGGATTAACAGCCTGGGGAGATGCTGGCATCCCCTGGCACCTGTCTCGTGTGGTAGCAGCATCCCAGTTCAAGCCCTGACCAGTGCCCAGTGTCACTGGGATGTGCGGGCACTTTGGTCTGTGCCTCGCTGCTTCTGTGCCCAGGCTCTCAGTCTGCTGGTAGAGGCTGACATGGTCTCTATTTTGGGGCTGTACAGCCCTGCCTGTCCCGCCCTGTGCCTGACCCCCCACACCAAATGACCAGGCCACCACTCTGCACCATCCGTTTACTGTTTTAATACCCGCAGGAGCACGGAGAGGAGGTTTGGGCAACAGGTACACAACTCCAAGCCTGCGGTGGTGACTTCTGCCTTTCCTGGGAAGTGCAGAAGCACCCCCACACCCCGGGAAGGTGCTGAGCTGCAGCAGAGCTTGGATGTCCCCATGTCACCCCCCACCAGGGTGTCACAGAATGAGAACCCTTGGGGCAGAGGTGGGAGAAAGAGGCTGAAGGTGATACTGGCGTGTCACTGCCATCCCCTCCCCATGGTGTCCCCCTTGATTTTGACTCTGTTGTGACTGCTGGAACAAAACTCCCGTTGTGCTGCATTTCAGGTCACTGTCGGTTCCTTTCGAGGGGGTCTTTAGTTATTAGGATTTCTTTGTACAGATATAAAACAAACAAAGAGGCAGACACTCAACAGTGAGCTTTCATCCCATGCAGGTGTCCGTGCCAGTGTCCCAGTGCCGTCCCCATCCCCACAAGCTCCAGGGCCTGGGCAGGTGGTGGCTGCTGCCCCGGGGACTCATTCAGTTGTCACGGGGCTGAGCCAGGCCTGGGGGGACACAAGAAGGCCCAGGTGAAGGGAAGGCCAGGTGGGCAGATACCAGGGGAATTCAGGGGGATCCTGGAGCTCACGGGGCGACAGGCCAGCTGGGGCGGCTCCACGTGCCGTCACTGGCGGCAAGCGGATGAGGGGGCCGAGCGCGGCGGGCGAGGCCGTGCCGTGCACTGGTACCGCGCCGTGGAGCGACCTCGTAGCGTGCTTTGGTTTTGCCAAAGGACGGGCGTTGGTGAGGGCGGGGGGGGCCCACAACTGCACTGTGGGGGGGGTCGGGGCATTGCAGCCAGCGTGGAGGGACAGCCCCAGCCTGGAGCAAAGCACTGCCCCAAAACCCCAAACGGCCGAGGGGCCACGCGCCGGGAGCTGTTTGCGCCCGCTGGTGGGGATGGGGGGAAACCCCCTCTTTGGGGGTTGCAGAGGGGCGCAGCCCCAGCCCGGGGTGGGGGAGGCACGGCTTACCCAGCCCCATTTTGCAGGTGTAGGAGAGGTGGTAGTTGCAGGGCACGTCGCTCCACTGGCCCCCGTCGTGCCACACGATGACCACACAGTTCTCACCAGAGAGGAAGTAGCTGTCGGGCTGCCCGGGGTGCCAGTTCTCGTAGAGCTGGGGGGACAGGCATGGCAGGGTGCACGGGGCACCCCAGCACACCCTTTAAGTGTGTGTGTGGGGGGTCCTGCACCAGCACACACCCGTCTGCAGCCTCCTGGCTGTGACATCCCCCTCAGGAACGAGGTGCCACCTCCATGCCCCTTGGCATGGCCTCAGCATCCCAAATCCCAGGGTCTGGCTTCCCTGAGAATGCTCAGGCCTGCTGAGGGGCTTCAAATCCTGGCCCCAGGGTTGGACCCCAGTGCTGGAGAAGGATGACAAGGTGCCAGGCAGGGTGAGGGGACACGAGGGCACACAAGGGCTTACCGAGCCCGACTTACCAAGGGGCTCCCGTCAGACCACTGGAAATCCCCCTCGATGGTCCGGTCGTTCAAGCCGATCCATTGGTATTCCCTGTACTGGTCTGGGGGGCGGGGGGTGAGCTGGAGGTGGGAACACACCCAGGCAGCCCAGCACCACCTGGCAGGAGGGGGCCGAAGGGTACTGGAGGCTGAATTTGGGGTCTGGGGATGAGTGCAGGGAAGCAGAGGTGTCCCTCCCCCTGCAGCGGGAGGGTGATGGGAGATATGGGGACAAGGGGAGCCCCGAAAGGGACAGAGCGGGACCCCCTCGGCCCACAGCCCGGAGCGGCGGGGCTGGGCTGGCCGGGAGAGGGCGGCATTGCCCCGGGACCCCGCCGGTCCCTGCCTGTCCCCACGCGTCCCTGCCGGCACCCGCCCGTCCCTGCCGATCCCTTTCTGTTCCTGCAGGTCCCCACCTGGCCCTGCAGGTCCTCACCTGTCCTTGCCGGTCCCTGCCTGTTCCTGAATGTCCCCACCTGTCCCTGCAGGTCCCCACCTGTCCCCCTGCAGGTGGCCCCGACCTGTCCCCACCTGTCCCTGCAGGTCCCCACCTGGCTCTGCCTGTCACTGCTTGTCCCTGCAGCTCTCTGCCTGCCTTTGCCTGTCCCTGCAGGTCCCCACCTGGCTCTGCTGGTCCTTTTTCTGGTCTGGCCAGTCCCTGCCTGGCCCTGCAGCCTCTTGCCTGTCCATACCTGCCCCCACCTGTCCCTGCAGCTCCCCGCGAGTTCTCTCCCTGTCCCTCTCCTCCTTCACCCTCAAGTTCCTCCAGGCCTCTTTGCTCTCTGTCCCATCTCCACCACTCTTGTCCCTGCTCTGTCTCCCTCTACCTTCCCCCCTGTCCCTCCACAGCTGCTTTCAGGAGGGTTATTGCTTTGCCTTCAGATTTACTTGCACATGTCCAACCCTCTGCCGGTCTGTCCACTTGTCATTGGATCATGGAATTGTTTAGGTTGGAAAAGCTCTCCAAGACCACCAAGTCCAACCATTCCCCAGCACTACCAAGGCCACCACTAATCCATGTCCCCAAATGCCACATCCACATGTCTGTTAAATCCCTCCAGGGCTGGACAGCCTGTGCCAGTGCCTGACCACCCTTCCATGAGGAAGTTTTCCCAGTGTCCAACCTAAACCTCTCCTGGTGCAACTGAGGCCATTTCCTCTTGTCCTGTCACTTGTTACCTGGGAGAAGAGCCTGGCCCCACTCGGCTCTCGCCTTCTGTCAGGGAGTTGGAGAGAGTGAGAAGGTCCCCCTTGAACCTCCTTTCCTCCACGCTGAGCCTCCCCAACTCCCTCAGCTGCTCCTGGTGCTCCAGACCCTTCCCCAGCTCCATTCCCCTTCTGTGCTCACACTCCAGCCCCTCAATGTCTTTCTCGTCATGAGGGGCCCAAGACTGAGCCTATCTGCTCCCACGTCTCTCCATGTTACTATCCATCTTCTCCCATGTCTATCCATGTATCTGTCTACCTGTTCATCCACCCACCCATCAGCTCTGAAGGGCCAGGCTCTGCCTCAGCTTTTGGCTACTTTTTTGGCTTAAGGTTTAAAACTTGCAGACCAGGACTGAGGGTCATTGGGCAGCAGTCCAGGGGTGTGCAGTAGGGTCTGGGGTGACATCACGTACCATTAATGAAGTCCTGCTCTTCAGGGGTCAGGATGGTGGCAAGGTGTCCCCCGTAATGTCTGCACTGGGTCTCTGCGTCCTCCCAGCTCCTCCGGGTGGAGAAGTGCTTGTAGCAGGCTCCCTGGAAGCTGTCCCAGCCGGGGCTACACCTCCTCAGCGCTGAGCCCCGGCGGGGAGCAAGGAGGGAGAGAGGAGAGGGTCAGGGTGATGGAGCCCAACTCACCCCAGACTCCTTGATTTCCCCACTTTTATGTCTCCTGAGCCGCTGCTTCAGCAGCTGAGATGGCAGCAGGACCTGGACAGGGGCAACCCAGTGTGGCCACGGTGGGACCTGGGGGACTCACGTCTTTCACAGCTGCTGCCTCCGTAGCCGGGCAGGCACAGGCAGGTGATGTGGGTGTCGTCCTCTGTGCAGGTCCCTCCGTTCAGGCAGGGGTTGGGGACACAGCCACCTGCAAGGCACACGCAGCCGTCCTCACCGTGGGGGCTCGGGGACCTTGTCAGTGCCCAGCATCGCCAGAGCCTCATCCCTGTGTGTCCCACAGCCACCAGGTCTCTGAGCTGGCCCCTGGGGCCAGCCAGTGTGGAGCAGGTGAAGGACTCGGGTGCATGGTGATGTGCCCAGAGCCATCCCACGCTGCCCTTTGTCCACGGGATGGACCCATCTTAGCTGCCCTGGCCCAGAGCTGGCCGGACCTGGGGCTTTGGCCTCCCCTCAGGGCACAGAGACATGAGCTGGATGCTCTCATCCTCCACATCAGTGGTCTGGCTGCCATGCCAGCCCCTGGCCCGCTCCTGCTGCCCGGGCACAGCTCCTGCTTTCCCCTGGAGTGACGCAGCAGTTGTACTTTGGGAGGGGAACACACAAAGGATAAACCCTTCGGCACCTCCTGGCCACACATCCTCAGCCTGGCAGCAAGGTGAGCCACATGCCTGCCCCTCTGGTGTCACCTTCAGCCTGGCCAGGGCTGATAACTCAGCCGGTGCTGTCCCCAGCCCGCGTGTCCCCAGCAGCCCGTTACGGTCATTAATGCACCCAGAGCACATCGTGTGCTTCCAGCCCAGCTCGAGAGTGTGATGAAGGGTTGCTGCCAGCACCAGCCGAGCGAGGACTGAAAGTCCTTGGCCTCCTTCATCCTAATGGTGCCCCATTTCATGGGCCTTGGCTCAGTGGAGACATGACAAGGGTGATGCTGTCACCCTCACCCATCCCCAGGCACCATCACCTCCCCACAAGGTGCCAGCAGCTCACTCGGGACATCCAGCTCGTCCCCAGCAGACCGAGAAACGGGGAGGGATGGGCGATTTAGGGCCCTAACATCACATGGAGAGCTCTTCCTGGGCAGGCATCTCTCCTTGCCAGGGCAAGGGCAACCACCCCACAAGGTCTTGCCACCCTCCATAGAGCCTCCTTCATGCCACGGGACCAGGCAGGGCACTGCCAGAGCAGGGGGGGAGGGACCTCACATGGTACCCTCTGCTGCAGCTGCCCTTGCAGGGAACAGGGGGGTAGGGTCTTGGCTGCTGTGCACTGCATTGGAGCTGGGAGCATCCCATGGGGGGGGAGGGGGCAGAGGGTGGGTCTGGGTGGGTGACACCCACCTGCAGCAGTTCATGCACCCACCACTCACCCATCTCAGCCCTCCTGTGGGGGGACCAGGGCTGGGGTGAGGGGGAAACTGCCCCCTGGGGGGACTGCAGCAACTTTGGGGTACTTGGTCACCAAAGGCAAGGTTCTCTTGAGGCTCTGCACCCCACGACCCATCGGTGCCCCCATGTTTCCCCCTGCTCATGTCATGCAGCCCTCGCCCCTCCTCCCGGGGCAGCATGGGGTGACCCATCCCCAGGGGGGCCACATGGAGCATGCAAAGCAGCCATACCCCCCAGACCTCAGGGGGGGTCCCATCCACCCCATTCCTAGGGACTCACGGGGCCAGAGGGTGGGGGATTAGTTCGTCAGTGGGGGAGGCGCGTGGGCAGCAGGCGCAAGGACGAAGGGAAGAGCTCGCCGAGATGCTTGTTCTAGAAAGCTTTTAATTCCCTTTATTAGTACCACGGTTAGTCAGAGCAGGGGCTGGGGCTGCCTTTTGCTTATTGGGCTTTTTCATGGAAACAGTCATTAAAACACTTCACAGAAGTAGAAGAGATTTAAGTGCATGCAGACCTCGGACCAATTTGTTTGACAAATATGTGCTTCTCTGGACCTGTAACCTTCCCTTACCCAGCTGAGGAGGAGAGAGAGAGAGAGAGAGACAGACGGGCGGACAGACAGAGGGAAGCACAGCGTGAAGGAAAGGTGTTGACTTTCTCTATTG